ACATTGCAAAAAAACACATAAACGTATTCCTTGAACATAAAAGTCTTAGAGAGTGAGCAATATCTCGTGGATACCTATCGATCGATGCTTCTCTTAACGTGTCCGAATTTCTTCGCGCGCGCACAACAAAGATCGAAGTCTCGACGTGCTCGTGATTTATTTCGTTGGACACTTTTCTGGGAGGAACGTGACTGGAAGTACGGGTTAGCCAATCCCTTAAATCACTGAAGCAGCACTGGAGAGTCGAAATCGGTATCTTGGCTGCTATATTCCGCGCACGATTGAGCCCGAATGGCGTTCCTACGATGCTCTATCATCGTACCTTTGTCTTGTGGCTGCAAACGATAGTCGCTGCAAAGTTAGAACCCAATATCGTCCTTGAAAAGGAAACGAGACTCGAAATACGTGCGTGACTGTCAGAGAATATCGCGCGAAAATATTTTCTCATGCATTACCTCGACATTCCATAAAAGGTTAAAGGAATTTTCTATTTTGAGACGAGCGAAAAAATAATATTGAAATATATTTTATTCCGTATAAAAATAATCATAGCTGTCAATTGATGAATTTTCTTTTTAGTCCTTGTTACACGGCTGACATATTTCTCTGTAAAGATTTAATAACGATATAACTTTTCGTAATATACTGGCGGCTTTTGTGTACCTCTCTTGCATAAAAGCGAAAGAAGATACTAACGAGACGAAAAGATGAAACGGTTGGTCTTTACGGCGATGTAGTGGGAGGTAAACTAAGCCAGCGTGCTTTAACGACAACGTTCAAGATTTTAATACCTCGTTACGAAGAGTCCGATCTTTCAACTTTTTACGATGCGACGTCTTTAGGGAACTCCTTTGAGGCCCAAGGTTTCCTCGAAAAGCTTGGTAGGGCGATTCATCTTTACAGCGACGAGCTAAATTTCATTAGTTAATTACGTGCCAGAACTTCGCCAAGATTTTCGTCTTAAGATGCTGATCTTCGCTGCGTAACTCGTGTAATACGAGTCTATATGCGCGATGATGTTTCCACAGACACGGATGTGAGTTATTCCAGGAAAACGAGTGTCCGATTTCAGAGATCTTTTCTATGATTAAAGCCCTTCATTTAGTTGGCGTGAGAGCTGTTCGTTTCGTTCCGAAACACAAACGCAAAAGTGATAATGACGGAACGGCGAGGATAAGTATTGATCGCGCTCTGCGGCTGGCCAGTAGTTACGGGCCGGTGCGGTCAAACAGTCGTAATAGAACCGGTCGTGGTTAGCCAGTAGTAAGAGCGTACCTGCGGTCAGACAGTTAGTATCAGGTCCCGCTGCGGTCTGATACGAGCAACTGTTCTACTTCGTCATACTATGCTTCTGTTTTGAAACTTTTGATGGTTGTATCCCAGTGTTATTTTAGCTTGAAAATGCAAATTCTATATATATATATGTATATATATATATATGTATGTGTGTATATATATGTATACAAAGTGTATCTGAAATAACGTACACTAATCATACAGTGCTATTCCTAATAAAAAACTGAGTCGAAAAGTTCTCTACCATTATGCAATTTTCGCAATAGTTAACAATATATTAATTACTAAAAATCGCTGAATATTGGTTTTCAATAATTTTTCACTCAAATCACTACTATCAACTTTACAGAAAAAAACTACAACAAACAAAAATCATTTATTTTCTTCTCATAAAACTCTAAGAATTTTTTTAGAATTTTTTATCAACTTTTTAATACTGCATTTTCTTATTTTTACCAACATGAGAAAATACGGTATTAAAAAATTCTGAAAAAATTCTGAAAAAATTCTCATAACTTTATGAGAAGAAAGTAAACAATTTTTATCTCTAGCAATTTTTCTATAAAGTTAATAGTATTTGAGTAAAAAATGATTGAAAACCAATATTCAGCGATTTTTTGTAATTAATATCTTGTTAACTATTGCGAAAATTGCAAAATGCTACAGGACTTTTTGATTCAGTTTTTTTATTAGAAATAGTACTGTATGATTAATGTACGTTATTTTAGATACACCCTGTATATATGTATATACACACACATACACACACATATCTCTATAATCCAATTATAAAATTTTAGATAGAGAACAATTTTTTCTCTTATCTTTTTAACTCGTAGTATTTTTCTTATGTACAATGTTATTTTTCACGTTTTTAATAAACGTGAAACATAATTCAAGAATATTAAATTACATATTAATTATTATTATAGTACTAAAGTATGTATATAATGTCCGTAATAATAATATATGATAATAATATGAATGGGATGATTGAAAGGACAATATGGTACAGAAACTACGGAAGCAATTTCAAAGTTGTTTGTTGTACCTTTTCAAAGGGATGCAGGAATATATATATATAAGCTGATTAAACGCTTAAGGCTAAATTGATTAAAGGCATAATTTTAATTTAAAAATCACACAAATGAATTTCTCACCTCGGAGAAAAACTGTCTGTCATTTTTTCATAAATTAACTTTTTTAATTCGACTACAATTTTCCTTAGTCGTGTCTCATTAGAAAAAAATTTCGATATTCTATTATTTTCAAATCAATACTTAAAAACAAAAAAATATTAATGAAAGCTTCATACAATTTTGTTATTTTGATAGAGTTTTGTGTGTGTATTTTTGTTTGTGTAGTTATATGTACACTACATAACTGATGCAGATATATACATATCTTATCGCATAAAATAATATATTCTAAAATCAGATAATAATTTTCATTGTTTGCATATAGACAAAGAGAGTCTGTAATTATTTGCAGACCTCTCTTCTGTGTATGTCTGAGAAAGCTTCAATGATGACATGAATAAAAGATATGAGAGGAGAAATTCGCGTAGAGTAGAAAGTTGCGCCAACGAAGACAAATTACGTTACGGAATTCTTCAGAGGAAAAATATAAATGATTATACGCAAAGGGTGAAGAAGAATGAAGCTGGAAATAGAGACGTTTGTAATGTACGGCGATTAATCTCTGTGTTTTTCAGATCGAAGACAGGTACCAGCTGTTGAAATATATTTACCTGTTGTTTATCAAATAATGTCGGTTTGCGTACATAAATCGAAGAAATATTACCGATGTAGTTACCTTTGTTTATTTAATCGCATAATTGGTAGCGAGACTATGTCAATGTCTGTTTAATATCCGAGTGTGATAACGTAATATCGATGTTGCAATACGATGTACTTCATTCCATGAAACAGGAATGCAGGCGCACGCCAAGGCGCACGCCGTTGTGCTTGGAGAAACCGGTTAGAACAAACAAGAAGCTCCTAAGTATACAGCCCTCATACTATATATTTCGAGCCACTGCGTATATCAGAAACTTGCAAACCGTGGATGCAGCAAAGAAACAATAAACTTTGTTAGTAAGTAGATATAAATGCGGAAGTGTGGTCCGTATGTTGACTTTTAAACGGAACTTGAGCATTGCTATTAAAATAAAACTTTTAATGAAATTGATCGTTTCGCGTTAAATAAGTTCGCACTGTCTCTATATATCTCTGTTAAAAAATAAACGTACACTAACTTGTAATATAACTAGTTTCGCCATGAGATCTGCGATCTCTATCCTGCGATCGACGTATGCGCGCTTTTTGCTTGATCTAGAGCCAAGGTAGAGACAGGATACGCCTCCGACAACCTATGATCCTTGACACCTGGAAACGAGCCAAGCGCAGGTCCTCCGAGGGCGTCGAACTTATGCCGCCGGCAGGCTTCCAAAATTATAGCTCGACTGCGTCAGCAACTACGATGTTTGTTTTCATCTCGATGTCGCCACGATCCATATATACTTTTCTACGTTCTTCGCGTCGTCCTATTTTTTTCAGTCTTGTCTGCTGTCTCGCAATGGCGAATAATTTCTCAGCAAATAATAAAACCATTCGATGGAACGACTCGATAGGAGATCTCTCAATGCACGTACCTCTCGCGCGCACGTATCAAAAGTCGATATTATTTTTACTAACTGACGAATATAACATCAGTTACTTTAATCTGCTCAAAGAAAACGGCGTCCCTCGGTTAGTTGCGGCGAAAAGGAAACGGTCGGAATGGTTTTCTAAAATCCGATTACTTCGGTCGACTTAAGCGGATTTTCGTGGAAACTACGTCACGTCCGCGTTTGAAATCCGTTGTGCTTATAAACAAAAAGATGATAGAATTCATCTTGCAACGTTTCTTTGTATCCAGCAATGGAATTTGTTCCCTTTCTCAAGTAAGGATGATTTTGTGTAGATGCAGAGCGGTCCTTTGATGCAGAAATGCTTTGTAAAACACAGGCGTTTTAATTTTTGCTTTGTTAATGGATGACATTGTCTTGTAGGATGCACACAAGTTGATAAATATACACGGAAAGAATGGTTTTTGCTGAAACAGATTTAGCAAGGTACGCCCCAGAAATAATTTTGCTGGATTATCAAAATAATTATATTATATAAGTCGTTCAAATTAATCGCTAAAATATATTATATAAACTTTTTGCAGCATTGCTCATCACGTTATTTAATTTCCTACGTAATTATTTTGATAATCCAACAAAATTATTTTCAGATCTGACCTAGCCTAAATTTTTGGAGACTTCAATAAAACCGTTCTTTTCATTTAAGTCTAATGATTTAATCTATGTTTATTTCATTCTACAAAAACATATTGTGTGAATTATTTCCGTAGATGTTTGTATTTTCAATAGAAAAGTCAGTCTTTATCTAAATTTCGTATTCCGCGGCTTCTAAATAAATTTCAATTATTTATGGAATAATCCGACGCTACACTTCTTTTTTTAGTCTAACTTATTAAATGAACAGAATCATTATCCATTATCTGTGATCTGTCTTTCATCTGTCTTTCATCAATCCTAATTTAGCTAAAATTTTCACCGCGAAATTTTCTTACATTGATATGGATATTTTTAAATAGATCTGATATCACAATGGCTTGTCAATATCTAATACAGATTCCATTCCAATTAATTTTAGGTTGAACTACTTGATGGCGGGATTGAGTCCCATGTGGTATCACGCCACGAACGTCGCCTTACACGCCGCTGCGTGCATCTTAGTCACCAGAGTGAGCCTCGTGGTAGCTGCACTTCGGCCGGGATTCGCAGCGCTCGCTGGGCTGCTATTCGCCGCACATCCTGTACACACGGAAGCGGTAAGTGACAAGTGTCGAGGTGTCCTAGGAAAAAATAAAACCATTTTGCCAAATATAAATCTTTTAAGCAAAATAGATTATTATCCACAAACGCTTTAGTCATTCGTTGTCCTGCAGGTTTGTTTACCGTTAGCTACTATTCAATAGCATATTCGCGAACATGTACTTATGCGTTGCGCGAGTCACAGTACAATGACAAATTTATCCTAAACCAAACAAAACAACAAGATTAGTAGAGTCCACTCGCCACGTAACCGCTCGAATCTGCGTGCGCGAATAGAGTCTGGCTGATCCGCTTTTCCTAAGTGCATAAACGTAATTAGCCTAATCTTATTATGGCTATGATCGTGACGGACAGAATTTGAAGTGTTCGTTCACGTCGCTGGAAAGAGAGGGAGAGAGGAGAGAGAGAGAGAGGCAGAGGCAAGAGGGAAGGAGAGTGAGAGAGATTGACTGTTGCTTCAAGATAGACTTGTTTTTGTTGTAATCAACGTTGATGCTTATCGACCATAAGAGGAATAATTAGTGCGCGCGTTACTTTAGATGAATCGTCAGTTTTCTTTTGAACTATATATAAATTGGAGGAATAGTATTAGAGTTCCATCAAGTATTTCTGTACGGCATCAGCGAAAATGATAAACTTCATCGTTAATAATATTACCCTGCTTAACCCGCTTTACTTAAGCATATAACTATAAAGCTTTGTCCGCCGTTATTGCACAAATTATGTTATTATGTGTGGAAATGGAAGTTTATAGAGCGTTAGATTAGGAAGTTGAGAAACGGCATGGAACAATACGTCGGTGATTATAATGCGTTCGTTGAACGTCGAAGTTTACATAAATGGAGAGGAACTCTCTCTCTCTCTCTCTCTCTCTCTCTCTCTCTCTCTCTCTCTCTCTATGTATTATTGTATTGTATTATTTTTGGAAAAGCTGAGAAAGTTAATAAAGAATCAATCTCAATATCTCTCTCTCTCTCTCTATATATATATATATATATATATATTCTGGAAATATTCACTGAAAAATCATGTAGCTGTCGATACACTTATATATTGATAATTTTATATTAAGTTCTTCATTCCTGCACTAAACTGCACTAGTCTTCTTTCTTGTTTTCGTCAAATATCAAACATATATCTTTTATATTTCACTTTATATTTTACTTTAAGTTCCAAAAAAAAAAGTTATATTTAGTTATAGAAAATAGATCTTTTTTTCAATATAATTTTATCATTTGGTTTAAATGATTATTGATACAAAATAATCGTTTGGTTTCGAATTCTAGTTTTGAATAATAAACATGTTTACCAAGTTATCGTGTTTAAATAATAAGAATACAATTTTTGTTGCTTAATTCATGGAATATATTGATATTTAACAATTTTTTATTTTATTGTCTTTGATAACGATTTCTGTCACAGTTCCGATGTTTTCCCAAGATAAGTGATATCCACTCAACTCTGTTAAGTAGCTTAATATGACATACAAATTGTACATCTCGGAACTTTTTCATTTTGATCGAGAAACAGCCCTAACTTAACGGCCTCCTTTTTGAGAATGAAATTTCACTCCAAGAAAAGTGATAGTTGCACCAATTCAGCAAGAGTGAATTTCACTTCACTCCTTCAAGGAGTGAATTTCCTAAAAGGTCATTTCCTAAAAACTTATTGATTAATATCTCGCTTCACGAGACAGAGCGACACTTTTTATGCCAGATTCGTTCTTTTTGTAAAAACGTTGAATGAGCCTAATTTCGTCAAGATTGGATGTAGGGAGGTTAAATTTAATTTACCTTTAGTCTCTTCTTTTGAAGAGTGAAATTATTCACTTTTCGTAAAAATTGAAAATTGACTTTTTTTGGAGTGATTCTTCACTCCCTAAGAGTGAAAATTTCACTCCTGTCGGACTGGTGCAACTATCACTCTTCGAGAGTGAAATTTCACTTCCCAAAATTTAGAGTGTAGTGTATACAGCTTTTATTTTTTGAAATTGATATTACTATACAGAATTCATATTTATTCGCGACTCAACGAATCATGAAGCGATACATTATGATCAATGCGTCGTAATTTTTTGTAATTATGAATAAGCAATCACAAGAAGAATGTATAGGAAATAGATTGTATAGATACCCAGATAAAGGCGAATTCCGCATCATTAGCATGGGATCGTGCCTTTTGAGCGGAATTACTGGCGGCACACGACACTGGTTTGCAAGTCCCGGTCTGCCCATTACAAGCTCGACCTGCTTGCCGGTCACGCACTGCATCCTGTTACATCACGTGCGTGCGGTATTGCATGTATTACTCGTTGCGTGCGCTGCCAACCCTCGTTGCCAGTGTCACTATTGTGATATCATGTTCATGTCGTACGCGGACGACCAAGTCAGATAATAATGTGTACTCAGATCAAATACTCTACCATCCGTGATTATTTTTGCACGGAGCTGTAAAATATACCGCAATCACATCTCGCATGCAGCGGCATTTTTTTCTACATTACTACCACATGTAACATTTTTATTGTTTTTAATTGCTGCACCAGATAAAATCTAACTGTAGAATCAGATTTCATAAACATCTCTTGACCGAGAATAATCAGTGTCATTTCCAGATTTGGAAACAGTAGGAAGAGCATCATATGCGATGCGGTATATATACGTATTATGTATTTCAACAGATTTTGAGATGTTAACGATGCATTGGTGCAAACTATTTTTATTCACATTAAATGTTAAAATATTTTCACATCGGTTAGTCATCGTTTTGCCTCTTTCGTTATACAGAATTGGCACAAAACTTCTTACACGATATCATTAAAAATTCCCATGCTTTTTGGCTTTATACTCTTCTGTCACGAAACGTTCATTAGCTCGACATTAATTTTAAAAAATTATATCATGTCGTGTGTAGTATCAAATTTATACGAGGATCGGAAATCTTTCACCTCATTCGGAAAACATAATACTAAATAATTCGCTGCAGTTTTAACCTCTGGTTTATTGGCTCTTGTTTTTAATAGCTAATATAGTTTGATTCTATTTATTGAAATGATCAGTCGATGAAAGCGCACTGTTAGTTCCTGAATTAAGTCTTTCATTGAGCCGTTGAAAGGAATTTCTCACTAATTAAGTACAACGCTATTGAAGCTTTGGCTTTTGGTTCGATGTAAACTGGCCCGAACAAAGGACGCGTTTGCGAGGATGGAAGAAGAAGGGTTATATCGGGTGAAGAGAGATCGCCAACCGTCATTCTGGACTTCGTCGTTTGGTCACCAAACGCGGAAATCTCTGTGATCGATCAATTACCATGCTCGTGTTGCCGTTCATTACATAGGCTGCATTCTACTTGTGCTTGTACGACTAATTAAGGTAAATGTCCCAATGTCCGGACATGTACCTATGTCCGGACATTTACACAAAATTTATTATTATTAATCTCAAATGCTTTTTTTATTACAGTATTATAATTTAATTGCATTTAAAGATTACAATTAAATTATAATATTACGTTTTAAAAAGCGTATTTGAGACTAATATTAACTTAAATAAATAAAGTGTTATGTAAATTGACATAGGTACATGTCCAGTCACTGGGATCGGACAGTACCTATGTCCAGACAGTTACACAAAACTTTATTTATTTATATTAATATTAATCTCAAATGCTTTTTTTACCTTAAAGATCAGTTTGAATTAGTTGTCTTTTGTCATTAAACATCTATTTATATTATTATTTTCCGTCAGCATATTAATTTTCCAATTGTGATCGGACACTGGGACAATTATGTCTCAGTGTCCGACCGGCTTGTCCGGCCACTGGTACATTGACGCATTCTATTATTTATTTAAATATTTTAATTAATAATTGAGTGGGTTCAAATAATTTTTCCTTGCTTAAGGGAGTCTTGAGTTTTCAAATGTTTATATTAAAAATCTTTTTGATATGATAAATTGTATTATTTATGAGAACTTAACGCTTAAACGTCCGGCTACTGGGACATTTACTTTAATTGGCAGAGCATCGAGTATTTGCATCGGTCGTTTGATGAGTTGTTTTTTTTACATATTATACATAAGCTTGTTTTTATTATAATAGCGAGTGATTCTTTAGGAAGCTAATCATTCGTTTCATGTAAGTACATTCAAAAAAGAAGTGTTTAATTTTAAGATATTAAAATATTTTATTCTTGTCCATTTTTTAAACACTTAAAGAGTTGTTTTAAACTTTTTCAATAAACAAAATACTAAGTGCTGGGATTGAAAATAATGTGTTTTAAATCTAAACACATATCATTCTAAATTTCTTGCAGTGTGAAATCTCACTCCAAGAAAATAAAAATATAACCACTCTTGAAAAAAAGTGAAATATTTTCATTTTTTTCAAGAGTGATTATATTTTCATTTTCTTGGAGTGAGATTTCACTGTAAGAAATTTAGAGTGTAGTATTTTGTTTGTTAAAAAAGTTTAAAATTGAAACATCTTTAAGTGTAAAATAACAATTTTACACACAATATGCACATTATGTTAAATTAACACGCGGATGTGATAAAAATTTAACACAAATATATAAAATGTTTTCTACTGTATAGAAAACTTAGCCACTTGAAGTTGTTTAAAAGTATTCTCCGCGATATGTCCAAGTTTCTGCATGTTGGATTTACTGAAGATAATATGTTGTTGATGGATACTCGCGATGTGTAACAAGATCGTGTGTCAGATATTGATTGGATTGGCTTTCAACAAACTAAAGAACGTTTACATGCGGCCATTGCAATAACACATCAAAGATAATCATGATTTTGCTCGAATTGCATCCATTGCACGTCTGACTCAAAGACTGCTTGTTACAATCTCCTATTTTGTTCAAATCCGTACAAAATATTCAATTCCCGTTTACCTTTGATTGGGTGAATATGCGATTGTCAGAAAGGATGATGGTACGTGAATTGAATAGGATTTTTTAAAAGGGTTTGAAGTGTAAAAATCTCGTTTT